ATTAAATGTTTAAATTTGCTTTGACTGGTCAAATATTATAAAACCATTGTAATAAAATGGAGGTGTAGTGTTCAGACATGTTCTGACACTAATCCTGTTAGCTGGAGGGTCTTTACACGTCTTCATTCACTTCATGATCGTTTCAAAATAAAAGCTCTGACAGAAACTAAAGCAGGACGTGTCACTAACATGTCCTGGAGTTTGTTTTAGTGTCGCTCCTGAAACAGACTCAATAACACTTAAACAATGAGCTGATTGATCACTGATTGTAGAACCTGGACCCTGGACCTGATCTGGACTTTAGAAGCAGAACTGTTGGACCCTCCAGTGGTGGGGGGGTGGCAGGGTTAGACTCTCTTCTTTTTCACATCAGAACCAGATTTGATTTGTTAGAAACAAGCCGAACAGGAAGTCAATCTGATTGTAAAGAGCAGTGGGCTCCGGCAGGTTTTAGTTGTTCAGCTGCTTCTCAGCAGGTCTCCAGCAGGTCTCCAGCAGGTCTTCAGCAGGTCTTCAGCAGGTCTCCAGCAGGTCTCCAGCAGGTCTTCAGCAGGTCTCCAGCAGGTCTTCAGCAGGTTCTACATAAAGCTGTGAATCATAAAAATCAGGAGTGTGAGACCACATAAAGGTCTGGAGCCTGCAGGGTGGTGGTGGTCCTCTGCAGAACAAACTTTCTGTTTTAATGAGGTCAAACTGGTTCGAGCTGCAGTGAAACTGGAACTTCTAGTTTCTAATTTAAACCCCAAACGTGTGTATGTGTGTGTGTGCGTGCGTGCGTGTGTGTGTGTGTGTGTAGTTTTGAAACATGCAAACATCCCACTTCACTACAGTTCAAACAGCTCAAATTAAAAACAGTTTCTGCTGAAGGAAGTGCTGAACCTGGGAAACCACTCCCACTGCAGTGTTTGCTGCGTTCCAGTTGTCCTCGGATGTCGTAGCTTCGAGCCTCCGAGTTCTATTTTTCAACTGGAATGCCTCCTGAAGTCGTAGTTTCGAGTCGAGAGGCGGGCGCACCTGAACCATACCCGAGCATGAGTTATGTCATCATTTCAACATGGCTGCTGCGCGCATGAAACAGTTAGCGATCGCGCCATCATTAGCATGTTTCTCTAAGCTAACGGCTAATGTTGAGCTGTAATCAAACGTACACAAGCACCATCCCCATTATTTAACAGACAGAAAGTAAGAAGAGAGGAGGCAGAATAAAAACAAGTGTAATTTATTTATTTTCCTTTTTTATATTTGTTTAATGTATGTAGCGTACTAGCATGCTTGTCCGAGCTAACCGCTAATGTTGCTAGTCTTGCATGTAAACAAACGCAGCTTTGTTCTGTGTTGTTTATTTTACATTACGTCAGACGTACTTGTAGTGCTTTATAGTGATAGTTAAAATAAATGTTTTAACACTGTTTGTACACTCAAAATACCTCGAAGAGCACTATTATTGTACGTTTTATTGTTGCAGAGCGAAATAATAAACGATTTTTCCGATGTTTGAAACTGGAACGCTATCAGCTCAGAACTGACGTCAGTCCGGCTTCAGGATTTCGAGTTCCGATACAATTGTAATGCAGCATTACATCACTGGACGGGGTTTCTTCCCCGACGTTATTTGTGCACAAATCTACCCTGGTTAAAGCTCCACAGGTTTTATTAGATCCCTCTGTACACGTCGTCTGTTTTTATCTCCATCCAGGAGTCTTTGACTGTTAGACCGTCTTTATAAATGTTTGCTTCCTGGTGCAACAGTCTCTTCTGGAAGTGAGCAGGATCAAAAACACTCCCACAAACTTCTGACCAGTTGCACAATATGTTCTTATTTAGAAAGTTCGTCCGGTTGTGACAAGAAGGTGCAGAAATGTTGACAACGCGAACAGAATAATGTAGTTTTCATCATGAAACGGCGACGGTTCGATACGATTTCTGCAGTTCGGCTTCAGCTCTGATCTGATCTGATCTCTGTGAGGTCTTTCTCATTTAAAGTGGACCTTCTGTCCACGGTCCTGATGTGGACATGACATCACACACAGGAGGATACATGGATGCTACACGTGTTAGCATGTTAGCATCAACTCTGAAGTTGGCGTCCAATCATTGATGACTAAATTATTACCTGCTGGGATTGTTTGGTCCAATGTTTACATTTGTTCTCACTTCTGTAACAAACAAACTCAAGTCTGGATCCATCAGGTTAAGTCACACTAACGTTTTAGACAACTTTTGATTTTAAAGACGTCTACGCTGAAGATGGAATTAAAAAAAATCAGCTGGAAGCCTCTTTTAGACATACTGTAATGTTACGAATTGATCAAATATCCAACTTTTATTCGTCATTTAGACATTAAATCATTTTCATAAGTTGTCTAAACTGTTATCGTGTGACAGTATCACTGAAGGAACTAAAGAAAACACTGAAGTCTGGTGTTTATTTTATTTCCTCATCATGTACTGGTTAAAGTGTCTGTGACATGTCTATCCTTAAAATACAAAAAGTCAAAGAAAACATCTTTAAACTTAAGAAAATTGGCATAATACACAAGATTTTACCCATTTTGTCTCATAACTGGCCTATTTTCTTTTGAATTTGGCTCAAAAGTGAAACAGGAAGTGACATCAAAGGAGAACTCACTAATAAACTTAACTCTCTGATGTTTTTTAAAACAAAATTATTTTAACTTTAACGTTTCTTCGTCTCTCTTTGACAGTGACTAAAAATAATCTAAAGAAACATTTGATTCTTCTGTGTTAACTTTTGTAACAACGCTCTGTTGTACAGTCTTTGACATCACTTCCTGTTTCTTCACATGCAAATATCTCAACAACTGTTCATCTCAGCGGCGTGAAATTTGTTTTGCAATATGCTATCGATGTTATCTTTCCAAAAATGCGTTCATGTTTGTTAGAAAAATCAGATGTCACAGGCCCTTTAAAATGTAAACTTTAGTTTGTGTTGTAATTTAGCCTCTGACCACTAGTTGGCAGCAGTCAGTGGTTTGGGAGTAAAATGTTTAGTTTGAGTTCATTTCTTTTTATAATAAGAATCTTTCAGATAGAAAATGGTAATAAATCACCTTACACGTTCTGATCGTACCCCCGACCTGACTGAGACTGGACCCTTCAGACCGAGGTCCCCTTGTTAAACCTCAGATCTGGATCAGATCTAGGACCACAGGTGAAAAAGACTGTGGTGGGATTTTTACCAGCAGTCAGAACGAAGCCAAAGATCTAAAGTTCCAGGTTTTCAGACTTCGTGTTCTTTAATAAAATAATCGTTGTCACTGAAAACGAAAACTAAATCTGTTTCTGAAGTTCAGCTTTGATCTTTTAATATAAAGTAATAACCTTCATCGCTCGTCTTCCTCAGTGTTTCATTTAAAAACTCATTATTCTTCAGGTGAAAATGACTCTGTGAGCCTGTCTCCAGTCACGCCCGGATTAAGACTTCATTTTCCTTTTTGGAGAACCTTCAAACTTTAGTTCCAGGTCCTGAAAGCCAGAGGCGTGCCTCGTCAGGTCTGATCGGGTTCAGACCAGGGTTTGGACCTGTTCCTGTCTGGAGCACGCCCCGGCTGTCCTAAAGGGAAAAACCTTCAGGGAGTTCTGACACCAGGAGGGGAAGGAAGCTGATCCTTCAAAATAAAAGTGACGGTTTCATCTGGTGTGACAGATTTGCATTAAATGCAGGACCAGAGTCTAAAGTCTTTGTTGTTTCCCGTGACGGGGACACGCAGCGCTGCACGCACGTTTCAAGTCTTCATGCGTGTCAGAAATCCTCCAGTCAGCTGTTCTGCCGGGCCTGCGTGCCTCCTGCTGATCCTCTGCTCAGACCATGTGCTGGCCCGTTACGCAACGCCGCAGCAGAGGAACAGATCGCTGCACGCCAGCCGCCGGCTCACAACTGAGCCCGGACCCCAGATCCAGAGGCAGGAGGGCCCTCCGGGTGGAGCTTAACTCCGGGTGGAGCTTAACTCCGGGTGGAGCAGCTGCAGGCCTGCATATTTCTGCTGCTGCTCCGTCAGGAAGATTTACTGTTCAGAGTTGTGAAACGTGTTTTACAACATCTGTCTTTGTTCAGAGCAAGTCTAACTGCAGTCAGTCATAGTCATTTATTATTGTTTGTCTTTAATTATTAATCTAAATATCTCTTTAGTTTCTGTTGTTTTATCCTTAAATATTTTGTGTTTTAAGGCAGTTTTAGCCTGTGTGAAATAAATACATTAATCCTGAGTTAAACTGCAGTTTAACTCTGATGATTCAACCTTTTCACAATAAAAATGTAGAACTACTTGAAGGAATGCATATCACCTGTTTATTTAATTTAATTTTATTTGTGTGCATATCACCTGTTTTATTTTTATTTTATTTGTGTGCATATCACCTGTTTAAAGACAAAGCTGTTTGTTTCATCAGTCAGCTCAGATCATGCTGGGGACGACTAAACCTGCTGCTTTATTTTATAAACCTGACAAATGATGAAATTCAGCAGATGTGGATTTTAAAAGTGTCTTATGTTGTTATTTCAATAGATATTTTAATGTGTTCAAAATTAAATAAACTGAGACTGCGGCTACAGGGTTTGATTCTTGAGGAGATGCTCTCATAATTGACGGCTAGTGACTAGCATGGATAAGCTGGTGTTAGCATTGGAGAGGCTAGCGACTAGCATGGATAAGCTGATGTTAGCATCGGAGAGGCTAGTGACTAGCATGGATAAGCTGATGTTAGCATTGGAGGACGTAGCACCTGCTGGTTGCACAATAGTCCTCATTTTGTCCCTCATGTCTGTCAGAGCGGTCGGTGAGCTGAAGTGCTCGGCGTGTTGATGCTCAGCTTCAAACTCTAATCCCGTCTGTAAACATTCTTGAATTAGTAGTAATTTGTGTGTTTGCTGAGACTCAAACATTAATCAGCTGCAGACGTTTTACTGAGTGAAGCACATTTTAAAAAGTATTTATGAGTTTCAGATTGCGTAGCGTGACCTGTTCCTTGTGTCTCTGCAGCTTCCTCTCCTGCACGGCTCCGGACTCCAGAAACCTGGACCAACTGAACTGTGACGAATCCACGATCCTGAGCCGAGCCGGACCACAAAGTGGATCCTTTATTCCAAACAGGAGCAGAGACACCTGGTTCTGCTGGTTCTGGATGAGAACAGCTGGAGAGTAGTGGAGTTCTGGCTGCTCCTGCAACCTGCTTTTATCTTGTTTTTATTTATTTTTTTGTGTTCTCGGACATTCCTTTTTCACGTTTGTACTGGACTCGGCCGGTTGCCGCTGCGTTCCCGGAACGTCCCGACATCCTCGTGCCTTAAAGACGATTCACACCAAGTGCGATTGGACCTCCAAAATAAAACTTCCTGTAGGTTTAGGAGCCGAGATGTTCCCGGCTGCAGTTAAAGTGATGAAGTGTTTGTTGGTGTTCGAGACCGAGCAGGACTGTGGTGGATCAGGAGGATCCTGATCATAGAGGAACCCAAAGAGGTGCTGTCAGCACTGCACACACCAACAACTTCACTAAAACACAACTTTTATCACTTCAAAGGGAAAGTTGCAATGATGTGTGATGAAAAACAAAAAGCGTGGCACCTTGACTCCGCAGTATTCAGTCGAAAGATTTCACTTCCTGCTCTCATTTTCGTTTAGGAGAGTTTCTCGTTTCTTATCTGGAAATGACTCCTGAACCCAGCCGGGGGTCCTCCCCGTCGTTTCCTCCTTCAGCGTCTCGTCCCCTCGTCATCTTCAGACCACGTTAGAGATGTTACGGCAAATATGTCCTGAGAGAACCGCCCGGGGTTAGATGGAAACACGGAGCTGCTGCCAGAGAGTCCAGGAGATGGAAATGAAAGAACAGGAAGAGGGGATGAAGCTGGAGGACGAGGGGAGGGGTCTCACCAGAAAATCTGCGTTAAAAACTGTTTTACTGTTCAAATGTTGGTGAAATGTGCAGAATGGTCACTTCAGTTTAACACAGGGTCAAAATGAGGAGTTTCCTGGTCTAGCAGGAACCAAATGATGCAGAGCTCAGAGAAGCTGCTGGACCAGGACCAGGACCGGGATCAGAACCAGACTAAAGCAGCAAATCCTCTTTTTGTCTCTGCAGCTGACAGTCACGATCTGTCACCAAACTCTCCCAAAGTTTAGGGTTTTTTTCTCTTTCTGACCCACATCAAACCAAACAGAAAAGTTGTGATCACTCGTTAAAAACACCGTTACAAACTCCTGCCATCTTCCGTACATTCTGGTTACAGTCCAGAGAGATTTCCTTCAGATTTTATTTATTTAGTTTTATTGTAGTGTGATCCTACCTCATGCTTGGTTTTCGTTGACTTTTTTTTTTTAGTTTTACAAATAAAGTGCATTCTGAGCAGGATGGATCCTTATTTTAACTTTTGTGACCATCGCATCAAACCAGGAATTAAGTTGAACTGGGTCAAACTAAACTCAGAACATTTTTACATTTCTTTTTTTTTAAGCTACGTTTTGCCTCCTGATCATTCTGAAATGAGCAGTTTGAGATTTATCGCTTCCATTTCGTTAACGAGGAATACTTCTGGAAAATTAGTCTGGATTTATAAGGTTTTCTGATGAGGATTTCTTCACGTCGTTTGAAAGAGAGAACCTGAAAAAGTAGCTGAAACCTTTCTGTTCAGATCATTGTTCAGGGTTCGATTTTAAACATTTCCTTCAAAAGATCCATGAATAAGAGATTTACTTATTTTATTTTGTCAAAAGCTTCAAATCTCACTTTTCATTTAATGCACTTTAGCTGCCTTCACTACACGACCTGTGATTTAATCCTCCGTTTGATGTGACCGGTCGCATTTTATATGGAGGTCTGGACTCCATTCTTGAAGCTCCGCCCCTTTTTGGGAGTTCCCAAATCCCCTCCTGTCCCCTGTTTACTGGAGGTTTTGTGGGGAACCAGGAAGCTGCAGTTTGACAATCGGAAGCAGAGCAGACGATGTTTACTTTTCCAAGGTTTTGTTTTCATTTGCGTTTGGTCGAACCCTGGCAGGAAGCTGCAGATGTTGAACGGTACCAAATGTTAAACTGTGAAGAGGTCCATTTCTTTTTGTTTTTGTTGTTGTTAGCACACGTGTGTAGTTGGTTAAAAATGTGAACCCTTCAGGGTGTTCTCGTCTCGTTCTCTGACGTGTTTCTGTAAACCTGATGGTAGTGAACGCACCGACCTGACAGCTTCCTGCAGTTAGTCTTCAGGTTCTGGCTGATCCCACTTGAACACTTTGACACTATGCAACAAACGGTTCTTCCTCACCGTAGACCCCTCGCACAACCACATCCTTCTGTTTTCTCTTGGTATACACAGAGATGTCAATCTGTTTTTACTGATGCTGACCGGAGCCATTAGATGTTAGAAAAACATCTGGTTTTAGTTTTGCTGTAAATATGTTTCACAATGTTTCTGAAATAAATAAAAACATGACAAACTGTTACCTGTCTGCATCGGGTTTTTTTCTCATGAATGCATTTGTAAATAAACTCATTTCTTAACTTAAGTGTTTATATGATTAAATTAAATCGTTTTTAGAAAGAAAAAATATGAAAATGTAATAATCAGAGTGGGTATAAAACGAGGGCATTAGAGAGGCTGAATGTCAGAAGTAACGATGGGCGGAGCTTCAGCTGTCTGTAAAAAAGTACTGGAGGTATTTCAAAATAAAATTCTTTTCTGAACCAAAGATCATAAAAGAAATTGAGACCAGAAGCAGAACTGTTCTGTGAGGAACTATCTTAGCTTGCAGGTAAAAGCCTGCCTCTCTGTTGGTATAGGTGTGCATTCGTGTCATGGTTACACATCTGGGAATTCTCCATCAAGGCAGAAAATGATCCTCAGGTTTCAGAACATCTCTCAGGTCCAGACGAGGACTTTTCAGAGAAAGTTTTGCACATTTCAGCAACACAATGCTGCTTAAAAATGTACAACAGGTTACCTTCAGGCCCAGGCCTCCCTTGAAAACAGATCTGAGATCTCAGTTCCTGGTTAAATCACGGTAAATAAATACACAAAGTAAAATTTTGTGGAAGTAGAATTCGGATCAGGACAGTGAAGGATCTGATCCAGTTTCTGTTGCGTGTTTGAGCTTTCACAGACCAGTAAACAGACGACACCGTTCAGACGTGTCTGATGAGCTGTGAGTAATTTCTTTTGAAAGCTTTTATTTTGGAGTTTCCTGGTTCTGCAGGTGTGTTTCTGGCTGCAGGACAGGAAACAAGCTGAGCTTTTCTTCACGTCAAAGAGAGTGACTTCAAATTGTTTAAATTCTATTTATATATACATTTATCCAGATCAAGAAATTATTTTTCTGATCTGCTGAAACATTGAGAAATTATAAAAACTAGTGTTGTGACTACAAATGTGTATATTTTTTACTTCAGAGCCAGAATCAAACATCTGTTTTTAGCTCAAACTCAGTTAAACAAAGAGCCCAAAGTTCAAAACTTGGTCCAGTTTGTATCAATATTTATTAAATAAATGTTAAATAAGAAATTATTCATCAAAATACATTCCAAATGATGTTTTACAGTATTAAATATCTATGACCTAAATAATGAAAAACATTCAATTTAAACTCGTTTCTTACATGTTCTCTATCAGCTTTTTCTTTTCTTAGATTTTAAGCTTAGATTTTCACAAAATCCAGCAAATCTGGTTTAAAAACACTAATAATTTAATTAAACGGCTTTAAAATAAGAAACAAACCTTACAGAAAAACTTCATTTTCTTGACTTGAAAGATGTTCAGCTGTCTAAAACAAAGTATTAAAATGTTTCAGTTTTACCTTTGGGGCCTGATAAAATGGTAGCGAGGGCCTGATTTGGCCCACGGGCCTTGAGTTTGACACATGGGAACAGAAGATAGGCTCGTTGTAACCATTCATTCATTAAATGACACTAAGGACGTGTTTATGCTGGCACTGAGGGTCGGCTGAGGTCCTGCAGCAGAGGGGGAGGAGCTAAAGGGGGCGGGGCCAGAGATGATGCAAACAGCTGCGACATGAAGACAAAGCAGGTGAATAAAATATTAATCTGATCAGCTGACCAGGTCTGATTTTATTTATGTCACCACGTCTGACCTCACTCATCCCCCTCTCCTCTGAGACCCTCCAGATCCTCCTGGAGGACCCCGAGGTCTTTCCAGACCAAGTGAGGACAGCAGGTAAACAAAGTGAGGACAGCAGGTAAACAAAGTGAGGACAGCAGGTAAACAAAGTGAGGACAGCAGGTAAACAAAGTGAAGACAGCAGGTAAACAAAGTGAAGACAGCAGGTAAACAAAGTGAGGACAGCAGGTAAACAAAGTGAGGACAGCAGGTAAACAAAGTGAAAAATGTTAAAATGTGACATTTGAAGGCCGCAGGTCTTCGTCAGTCGCTGTGATGAAGGTCGTGTTGTTTCCTCATTGATCTGAAGTGTTCCATTAGCTTCTGTTCTTTCAGCTCCTGAATGCGTTGAGGGACAGACTTTGTGATGTTTGTGTGTGATGTTTGTGTGTTTGTGTGTGATGTTTGTGTGTGCGCAGCAGAGATGAGGCTGTTAATGTCCTGTTTGAGCTGTTTAAGTAATGATTAATGAGCCTAATGGCTTCTGTCCTTTCTGTGGAGCTGCAGCTCATCATAAAAGACTTATTGATGGGAGCCATGTTTTTCTCCTGCTTCAAACAGGCCACGCTGTCTGACGCCATCACAACATCCAGCAGGTTTCTGTGAGTCACTCTGCTGACGGCTGCTCTTTGTTTCCATTCTTCCTGAACTTTCTTTACATTTAGTTTTAGTTTGTATCTGTGAGCTTTATCTGCCTCTGCTGCTTTTAGATGGATTAAAGTCAGAAATAAGAAGTGAAGAGTTCCCTGAGGGACTGCTTGTCTTAAATCACTCAGCTCCTCTAAAACAACTGAATTATGATGAGTTTTATTTTTGTAGCTGTGACGGCCATCTTGGATTCTAAAGAAGCAGCAGGTTGTGTTGAATCGTTTCTTCATCCTGACAGGACATGGTGACAGTGGAGAGGAAAAACTCTCTTTAACAGGAAGAAACCTCCAGCAGAACCAGAACCAGGACCGGCTGGGTTTGGCACAGAGACACAGGAGGACTGGTCCAGGTGGGAATTTCCTGTTTGTGTCAATAAATTATTGAGTCATAATTATTTTTATATTTTCTATGGAAACAAACAACTTTGATTTGTAAAACTAAAGATTCAACAATTACATCCATCCAACATCCATCCATCCATCCATCCATCCATCCAACATCCATCCATCCATCCATCCATCCATCCATCCAACATCCATCCATCCATCCTTCATCCATCCATCAATCCTTCATCCATCCATCCATCCATCCATCGTCCATCCTTCATCCATCCATCCATCCTTCATCCATCCATCCATCATCCAACTATCCATCCATCCATCCATCATCCAACTATCCATCCATCCATCCATCCATCATCAATCCATCC